GGTATAACTTTCTGTTAATATATAAATGTTCTCGTTCTTTTTCTGGAGGCCAAATAGCGACGTGGGTTCCATCAACAGCACCGATTATACCTGGAAATCCATAGTTGATCCAAAATCTGAAGAAATAATAGTGACATCAATTTATTTTTATTTTTAAATATGTTCATCTAACAGCTAACTTATTGTTCTGTAATATGTTGAAGATCACGATACAGTTGTGGAAATTTAATCCAATATCTCATTATTTCGTCAAGTGCTTCCACAACAACATGAATTGCTGCAGATATTGATGCTTGGCACATGCAAGTTAAAAAATCTTGCCCAATGCGACGTTGATATGATCCTGAAGCTAAGAAGCTCAAAGTTGCAAAGATCTATTAAAAATAATGCTTATTATTTTATAATGTAATACACAAAATAGTATTTAAAAATAGTATATTTTATATTCAGAACATAAACTGCTTAATTATTAAGCAGTTTAACGACAAATTAATGACAGATTTGAATAGGATATATTGACAGATCCACACTTATCTATCTGCATTTGATTTGTGTTCTATCGACCATATCTAATGACAGAATCTAATAGCAGCAAATTGACGACAAGAAACAAACAGGATTTGCAATATGTTTTATTTAAATATATTGAAATGACATCCTACTTTACTTTTTTTGTTATATCATACTCTGTCATCAAATCATATTATATTTTGTAAACTGCTGACAAGTCTACGTTAGATACAGTTAAAAATATATTATATTTTATTAAGTTTAACTTTTTTGACATAATCTACTTAAAACACACAAATTAGAAACATATATATATTTGTAACCACGTGTTAGATTTTTCATTATGTTTTATTTTGTTAAATTTTTCATTATATTTCATATTGTTTAGTAAACTGGATGTGTTCTGAGTTATGTATGAAGTACATGATACATTATTTGTTTTTGTTGTTCACAAAATAATAAAAAAAAGAATAAAATGATACATTATGTGTTTCATACATAACTTGGAACACACCAATATTGCAGTTACTTGATAGATTATCATTTAAAAAAAATTCTTACCTTTAGTTCACGGGGTATTGCTGTTTGTCTCCTCCCTTCGGGTATATGAAGCAATAAGTCTTGACATAGTCGTATTGCTGCCTCTCGAGATAACCTATAAATATATTCGATAACACTTCATTTATCATGACATATTTCTTTCTAACACAGAATCGGGAAATTTTGTGCGCAATAATTTACATCGC